TTAAAAAATCGGAATATTTTTTCAGCCAGCAGCAGGGTGTGACAGTTTCCCTGGTTGGACGCTCTGCAACACACACATCAGGAACAATCATGATTATATGATTAAATGTATCTCACTGATATGAAACTCTCTTGTCAGTCCACTTTTTCTCCACAAATTAAACTCTTTATTTGAGGCAAATGACTTCGACTCCTCCCTGTAATCTCGCTCCTCTCCCCGAGGTGTCAAAATAAACCAAACACCCCACAACAACCGTCTCCAGTACATTTGGAGATCTCTTCTGCCCGCTAATTGCCTCCAGTAATTATGTCACACACTCTCCATCATGGATCCAGTGTGGGAGCAGTGCTGCTGGGAACAAAGAAAAAAGAAAAGGGGCTCCTCTTTTAAAGTTTCGACTGTGTCTGCAAATGGATTCTGTTTGTATGAATAAACATCAGCTCTGCAAGACTCCTCTGTGTTTGCATACTGAGTGACGAGAGGCCCTTTTCCTTTTCCGTCGGAATTAGCGTCACAACTGAGCCGGCCGCGTCTTATTACCATCATCATCAGCATCAGCATAACACAGGCTGTAGCAGCATCACACGCTTCTTGCTCTGCTGCAGCTTTCTCTCAGCTCCATCCTGCCTTCAGCTCATAGGCATCATGGAGATCTCAGCTCCTGGTCTGATTATTTCTGGCGTTAAATACAGTTGAATGGGTTCCCCCTTGTTCCCAAACCTTTCCTCAGATGTCTGCCTATGATAGAAGCGCCTATGAACGCACACATGAGGCAGGAATGCAACAGGAACTGCACAATTACAGCCGGAGTTTGTATCATGGCTTATCTAAACATGAGTCAGAAATAATTTGGTCTTTGCATTTCCTGCAAATTAATACGGAGGTCACATGTGGAAGCTTTAGAGAGAAGGCTGTGCAGCTCTGTGTGTGCAGGAACATGCATGATCTTTCTTTTCTAATTGTTAACCAGAGTAAAATATGCCATGGAAGTTAGTGCAGCAAGCTTCCGTGTGATGGGCAACAGGTGATGTGTGTGTGTGTGTGTGTGTGTGTGTGAGAAGGAGAAATAGAAGGAGGGAGTGAGGCACATCTGCCAGGCCATCATAGCTCACTGGCTGGATATTCACACCTCCCAGTCCGACCAGCAAACAGGATGCGGTGCTCTGTGAGTGTGCGCCGTGTAGTCAGACAGATTAAGGAGGGGTGGAGGTGGAGGTGGAGGAGGGGAGAGGAGGAGGGGGGGTTGATACTGTTAAACAACCCGCATTTATGACCTGCAGCCGGCGCGTCTGACAAACAAGAGCAAATACACAGTGCGGTGATGGGGAGCTAAGTATCCGTGTGTGTATCCATCCAGCTGCACCATTATGGATGATTTACAGTCGATACCTCCTGCTCCATGTTCCTGTCTCATGCCAGCAGTGTTTCATATGGAGGCTGCTGTGTTCTCCTGCATTCACTGCGAACATTGTGTCTGCTTCTAATTGAGTCCTGGTCGGAGTCGAGTCATAAAGAGCCGTCCACGGTTAATCGATTTTATTGCGCTGTAACCAAATGTTTCGTGACTTTTCAGACATAACTGCAGATGAGTTCATTCTCACTCTTCCTTTTCTGTAATCCTCCTCTTCTTCACCTCCCTCCCACACCTCTGCTGGCAGAGACGGTGAGATTTATAAAGGATATGCTTATGGATCAATTCAAGATGAATGTGTTGTAGAAACATCTGTAATTTGTAAAAGATTATGAGCATAATATGGGCCTATACACTGATGTTCCACAAAAGAAATGCATTGCAAATCATCTCATTGTCAACATAATATACCCAAAACTATAATAAGCTATGTCTAATAATATATAAATGTGTTTAAATAAATTTGGCTGTATGATAAGGTGTGCATGAATTGTGTGCAGGAGGCTATTTGGAACTTTAAAAACGCCGAACCTCATAAGGAAATCTATCAATTATATGTTGTTTGAGCACCAGCAAAGACAAAACTGCGCAAAGCTAATACCTCAAACAATTTTCCAACTCCTTAATAAATATCCTTGAATTCGGCATCACACACACCTTCAAGAACTGCATATTAACATTGTTTCCCAGGCTTTCACCAAAACAGCATAAAGCTCGGAGCGGTGCTGATAGGAGCCTGGAAGAAATGGCCTCATGCACAGGTTATATCCAATACTGTAATAATATATGTCTAATAATATATAAATGTGCATTTTTTATGTGGCCTTATGCTAAGATGTGCTACTCCAATCATTTTGCTTTTTGGGGACTTTAAAAACGCCGAACCTCATAAGGAAATGTGGCGATTAAATGTTTGCCCACCAGCAAAGGTAAAACTGCGCGAAGCTGCAACTTAAGTCGGTTTCCTCAACTCCTTACAGAATATCCTTAAATTCGGCCTCTGTATACACCTTCAACTACTGTATATTAACAATGCCATTCCCTGACTTTCACCAGCATAAAGCTTGGAGCATAAAGGGGGCTTAAAAGATAGGAGTCTGAGAGAAATGGTCTCATGCGCAGGACGGGATCTTGTGTCATAATTTATTTCTCATACATTGTCTTGTAATGAAATAGAGTTTGGAGTCCTCCCAGAGAGTCGGTTTCCAAACATGCACTGGACGCCTCCAATACACAAAAACGCTGCCGTCATTATCCCAGTGGGGCCATAAGTGCTCTGGGTTTTGTTAGCTCCAATAGACAATTTACCATCCAGTCTGCCTAATGAATCACCGTGTGCAGCGCAGAAGAAAAGTGTCGCTTATCACCCTATGATGAAGTGCAAACAGCCCATCATCGACTCCCGTTGCTGCCCAGGGAGGGAGGGAGGAGGGGGGCGTGAATCTCCACACCCGGATGGAAGTGGCTCCCACCGGCCACATAATGTGACACATGCATAAAAATAACACCTTGCGCTCGCACCTTGGCCTGCACTTTTGGCACAAAACCGATTAGATTTGGCACCTTTTGACGCAATATTCTGGTATAAGGACAGAGTTGAGTGTCTCCAGGGTGTGATCAGCGGCCTGCCTGCAGACTGAGGAGGCCTCAGAGAAATTTAAATGAAAGAAAATGAAGTATAATATTGTTTTTGTGCCTCTGCAGTGAGGCCCAGAGGCAAACAGCATGAAGAACAGTTTACACTCACTAAAGGCACTGTTTAGAGCATGTTCTCTACATGACATGTCACAAACCATAGATGGAGATCCATGAGACGCAACTTGATCATCATCAGTACATATTATTATCAAACATCCCCTATCAATCACTTGTTAATGCCAAACGTCTCGGCCATGTAATAAACCTGACCTTTGCTGAACTCTGTGAAATAAATCACCCATGAGCACCACTACAGTAATGTAAACTCAAAGCACACAGCGTTTGTTCTGGCCCCTGAGGGACCACTAGGAGCTGGACTGTTGCTCAACCGCTCCGTTTTGTTTGATGGGAACATTTCCCAGATCTAAACAGGCCCTAATAAATATCACTTGTTGTTGATGCCGTAAAGCTCCACAATGGCCACAGTGAGTTTTAAAGGATTTGAGGTTAAACAGCTTTTGGCACCTGCGTCCGTGTGCAAAGGTCATAATGAATGGGATTTTAAGTAGACACGTCCAGGTAGGCTTTCAGGAGAGCCAAGAGCAACAGTTCGAGGTCTGAGAGAGGGACAGCGCCGGGCCAGGACAAATTGAAACGGGTTGCCTCGAGGTATTCCAGCTATTTTCATTTGTTTCTGTTAAGTCACTTAGGTCTGGGCTCCAAACACACTTGAAAAAATAGACGGCGCAGCAGCAGACGCTCACACATTCCTTACTGTACATGATGTGGAGATTCACACTTTCCCTCCACAGGAGCGCTCAGGAAGTTTTACCCCAAAGTGTGGCACCAAATGTACTGAGCAGATTTATCACGGCTGCAGGGTGTCCATACATCTATCCTCCTGAGACCCTGTGTCCTCACATTTCAGGTTTGCTAGGCCCTATACTCATACTTATTTTGTCCCATCCAGTGGTAGCAAAGGCACAATACACTAATCCATGTAAAAACAAGATGGCAGCCGTCTCTGCCAAGTCAGTCTGCAGCCGATCTGATACAAAAGTGGACAAGATCCAAAGCCTGATCACATTTAATAGATGGAGCTTGTTTTTTAGGATTAATAATATTTGTAGTTTGATACGGCAACAAATTTGACCAATTTTAGCAACAGTAACAAGCTGTGACGCTGGTAATTAGGAAGTGCTTTTTGAAGACACTGGAGATTTATCATCAGCTCACTGAAGGACGTTGGGAACTTAAATGTAGTCTCATTGGAGGACAGTATGGTGTCTTGTTAGAGAACACTGGAACTTTATTACCGTCCTGTTTGAGGACACTGGGACTTTATTATCGTCCTGTTTGATGACACTGGAACTTTATTATCATCCTGTTTGAGGACACTGGGACTTTATTATTGCTGACAATATTTAGTTTTTTATACTCATCAGATCCTACTGATCCCAAATAGCTCGGAGAAATTAAAAATGCATATCAAACAAAAGTTCAAGTCTCAGGAGGATGTGACAAACAATCAGAAAATAAAAAAATAATAAGGAAACATTTGGCACGTCACACAGGTTTTCTAACCATCAAGATAAAGCAACATGTCACTCTGCCTAAACTTTTACATGTGTAAATAAAAACAGGGAACTCTGGTAGGAAACATATGCTCCATATTTACAGCCTCACTCTGCTCCCTGGACTTTTTCTGGGATAAAAACAGTGTTATGGAAGTTTTTGGTATCCCATTAAATGATTCAGACACAGGCTCATTTCCATATCTGAAGCGTTAGTGAATTGATAGAGGCGTCAATTTCCCTTTTCCATCACCCACCCCCACCTCCACTCCCACTCCCACCTCCACCCATCATCATTTCCCCCTCCTCCTCCTCCTCCTCCCCCCGGCCGGTGGCCGCTTCAAGCTGTCAGGAGAGCAGGCTATAAAACAGAGAGGGACGGCACTGTGAGGAGGCTGCTGGTACTGAGGACAGACACAGCTGGCTATGTCCTGTCTTCGGAAAACTGAAGCTCGGATGATTTAAAACAGGAGACTTTCAAACTAATGACACCGTGAGGAGGAGACTTGGACGCACGGAGGAAAAGTTTCTGTCAGGGAGTGTAGTCAAGTCGGCAGTGGCTGTATAAAGAACTCCATATCGGAAGGTTTGAGGGAAGTATTTCGTGGAGAGACCTTAAGAAGAGGAGGGTTTTTGGGATGCTGGTTCCCCGCGCGCTCCGCTCCTTGCTGTGCGTACTGAGCTGCGCGTGGCTGCACACCGGAGCGGCCTCGCGGCTCAAGTCTCCCTCTCTGCCCATCCAGTCAGAGAGAGAGCCGGTGCCATCCAAAGCCGTGTCAGGTAAGAGACGTCACACATGTATTTAAAACTTATTAAGTTTGTTTCCTTTGGCTGCAAGAAGGAGCTCACCAGTGTGTGAGGTAGTCCACAAAACACAGCAGCAAAACTCCGTTCAAAAAGGTGTAAGTTTTAATTCAACTAGTCCTGGAGATTGTGATTCTGAGAGACTGTAAAGCGACTACATATTTTCAGTTAATATAGGTGCCAATCTATAATTCGGCTGCTATCAAACACAATAACAACACTTACACAACAGTTTAAATCTTCAAAAGTAGTCAGCCCTCCTCCGCAAAATGTTACGAGCGAACACACGCCGAAGGGGGCAGCAGCGAGCTAAGAGTGACAATTAGAAGTCACGATTAAAAAATTAGTGCTGCCATTTGTCATTACAGTCATGCCGAATTACTTTGAGGACACCATTACTGTCACCTAATGAATTTTAAGTATGACGGATGCATAGTTTTGCTTAAAAAACAAGAACTCTTTAAATTAGCAACTTTTCTGGTGAAGCCTGGCGTGTTGTGGTGCCTGCTGCGCCAGGTTATGACCCCAGTTCAGCCGCTTGAGAGCTGCACGCCAAGTGTCGCAATAGCCCGGCTGGCCTCTCTTTAAAACATATTAACACACATCTTTTAAAGTAAAAAGAGCCTCCTCTTCCTCCTCTGTGAAGGCATACATACCAAATTTTGCGAATCCCCATTTCCCTTGAATTGTTCTCCAGCGCCTGAGTCTCCTCATGTGTAAACTAGAGGCAAACATCTGAGTCATAACCGCAGTGAATGCCATTTGATTCATGTGTGAAAGCCCCTGCGCACAGAGCTGCTTGCGGTTTTCATAAGGTAACTAACTGTGGAGTGGAGGACTGTGGGAACTCCACGGTCACCGCCGCCTCAACGTGTAATTCACTGCTGGAAACTGTAATCAATCGACTTTCCATTACAAGCATTGGCTCCTCGCAGATGATTTATTTCAGCAGAGACACGAGTTGCAGGCAAAGCGAGCGGCTCACAGTTTGGCTCCCTGTAACTGCACTGGACTGTTTAAAGTGTGGAGTCACTTTAATGAAAGAATAATGCGAACCAGGTTGGTAGCAGTGAGAGAGGCAGGCCATCAGCCCGAGTGGAGCTGGCGAGGGGTAACATCACATCTGTGTGTGTTTGTGTGTGTGTGTGTGTGTGTGTGTGTTTGTGCACACACACACAAACAGACACACACTGCTCACAGGCAGTTATCCTAACCAATGATCACTATAATATTCCTGTAGGAACACAGCGTGACTAACACCCAATTATGATTGTAGTATAATAATAATATCACTGAGAGCTGTTTTTATCTCCTGCAGCATCAGAACACAGTTCAGTCTCTGTATAGCCACACAGTGATGTGTTCTTTATAGTTATGGCTCTGCTCCAGCTCCAGATTTCTTGTGAAACAATGTCAACAATGTGCTGACCTTCAGCCCATTTTATCTTTGTAAAAAGGCTTCAGTTCCTGCATAGTTTATCTCAGGGGTTGGCAACCTGTGGCTCCGGAGCCACATGCATCTCTTTAGACCCTCTCCAGTGGCTCCCTGTGGCTTTGACATAAAATTAACTTTCATTCATATTTTCATTTGTCATTGTTGTCGGCCTCAAGTGATTATTGCAGTCTTCGATTGTAAAAATACATTGAACTAAAAAATGTTTAAACATTTCATCAACTAAAATGTGCGTCATATGTCTACTTTTTCAACTTATTCTGACTACAACCTCGTCACATGTCCACGTTTGGTCATGGACTTTCCACGTCCACATATGACGTCCAAGGTATCTTGGGTGTGTTGGTTGTTGACGCCCTGGGACGCTGTGTCAACTTCACACCTGTCTGTTTTTTCAAAATACACTTCCGTTTTCACAGGAAATGTACAGTTTGCATACAGTCTCTTTCAAAATAAAAGCACTACATTGGTACAACACCACAAATTGACTTTTTTTTTTACCTTCAACAACAAACAGTCAGATTTAGGAGCAAAAGAACAGGGTTTGGCTTTGTAATCTTACAGGACACAAACACCTATCTCCTGGGTGAAAGTCCATGTTTGTTGGACCCAGCAATCACCACTCCCACTGCCACACTCAGGCTTTAGTTGTCTTAATTTTTGTTCATGTCCTGCTATATGTCCCCCTGACGCCAGGTTGGCTTTTTCTGAAGTTTGCTGAACTTCAGCATCAATGGTGAGTGGAGTGGAGTCTCTCTAGTGAGGCTAACTTAGATTTACAAATCTAAAATAAGGAAAAGTCTCAGAGGAAAATAGAGGATTTTATAGTGCGTGAACAGATTAATTTGCTTTCACCATCAACGCTGCAAAGTTAAAGTGCTAAATAATTATAAATAGCCCACTGCAGAGTAATTACTTTGTAGTAAATCCATAGCAGTGCAATTATTGGTGTACATTTTGTGGCACTAGGCAGATTTTTGGTTTGTTTTTTTGGCTAATAATGGCTCCTTTAATAGTAGAGATTGCCAAACCCTTGGGCAAACCCTTTATAGCTATTGTTTCATTTCATTTCTGATGTTGGAAAACTGTTGTACTATGTATGGTATCAACTGTAATAATCCTTTTAATATTTATACAGCATTTCTTACTAGGGGTGAAGAACCACGATACGTTATCACTTTTTTTAAAAACATTTTTTAGCAGCAAAATGTATCGAGTAAACTGAAATAGCAGTTGACTGTTTTATTCTAGTTGGTTACTAATTTGTATTTGTAATATTAATCATTTATATGATAAAAAAAATCAATACTTGGCACTGTGTGATGATACCATACTACGCTGTATTGATTTTCTCCGCCCACCCCAACCTCTTACCTCCTACTGCTTGTGTTTACTGTCATACAGCACGTACAGCATGCTGTCAATCTTTATTAAAATGCTTCATCAGATATTTTTCTTAACAGTAAAAGGCTTTGACCTACATTATGTATTTCTGGGAATCTTTGATAATCTTTCAGTGGAAAATTGAATGTCTCCCTCGCCTGCTCATGGATCATTTAGATGAGACAGGATGAGAGGTTCAGTCCCAAAACTCATGAGGCATCCAGCGAGTTTCGGTTCCATCCAACATGCCTGGGCAATGAGCTATGCAAGATTTATTTGTTGTGAAATATAAAAAGGGGGTACAGTGGCCCAGTCTGCAGAGCCTGTCATCCTGCATGTCTGACACTTCATAAAAGCCCTATAGTCGCACTTTCTCTTGCTCTTAAAGAACGTTGTGTTAGTCTGATCTTAAAATGCCTCGACTAAATTCCTCTGTGATTCACTCGAGCACAATTAAAAAGAAAAAACCTTAACACATAATCACAATTTTACTGCGTCTGGTTTGGTGAGAGCCAAACAGTGATCATAACTCCCCGATGTTTGACCTGCAGACAGCCATGTGTAATCAGCAGTGTTTGTGTTACAGGATGCTCATTCGGAGGTCGGTCTTACTCCCTGGAGGACACATGGCACCCAGACCTGGGGGAGCCCTTCGGTGTCATGCACTGCGTCCAGTGCCACTGTGAAACTGTGAGTTCTGTCTGAGCGTGGCTCCTCTCTACACGTCCTCTGTGCAGTCACAGGTCGAACCAGCTTGCTGTGTGTTTATTAAGCTGACTAATGCGTCTGTGTCTCTGGTGTTCCTCTGGCAGCAAAAGAGTCGTCGTGGCAAGGTGTTTGGGAAAGTAAACTGCAAGAACATCAAACAGGACTGTCCAGACCCAGACTGTGACGATCCCATCCTGCTGCCAGGCCACTGCTGCAAGACCTGTCCTAAAGGTAATCATCTGCTGATCCAATCTCACCACCTGCTGGCCCTCAAGGCGTCTCAGTCTTCTTTTACATGTGATCCAGATTCTAGCTCTCTGAAATGCATCAAACAGTCAGCTGAGAAAACAAGTGAGCTGAAATTGCTGCAGGGAAAAGGGAAAATTAATAGCTCTGAGAGGAGGGGATGCTATGGTTTTCTTTTCCACGATTTTTGTTTGCTCTTTGTTTGATTCATACCCTCTCTGTCTTCTTCTCCTCCGTCTTTCCCTGTTGCACTCCCACTTCTTTGCCTGCCACCCCACCCTCGGGTCAACTAGTTAGCCTTCAGAGCAGCTGTTAGCTACAATGAGCAGGTCAATTGATTTCCCATCCAGCCGCATCAAATGGACATTTTCTCTAAGCAGCCACAACTGAGAGTACCACCCATCTACTTAGCCTCATTCACACGTCGCCACTTACCTTGTCTCCATACACTGCTGCACACACAATTCCACCTTATTAGAGAATTAGAGCTCCCCCGCACATGCTCACACACAAACACACACACACGCACGCACGCAGGGCGGGTCGTCATGATGCACTGTTATTCAGCAGATTGGGTGTTTTTCTATGCTGTGTGTCTGGTAATGGAATGGAAAGTAAAGGTAAAGCAGTGTGTGGACAACACTGTGCTGTGTGTGTGTGTGTGTGTGTGTGTTGTGGTCAGGTTTTAAGGAAAAGGTTGAGTGTGTTTGTCTTAGCTTTGGCACCAAAGCAGCTAGTATATTTGTGTAAGTGATGGAAAATGGAGTCTGTGTATGTGTTTGTGTGTGTGTGTGTGTGTGTGTAATGACTAGTGCACCTGAGGATACAGTGTTGCTAACTTAAGTGGGGCGAAGCGAGAGTGACACTACCCAGAAGCCCTTGAGCATGCCCAGTGGAGCAAAGGAGTGAGGGAGGAATGATGAGATTTGAGATTTGTGGGTGGTGTGTGTGTGTGTGTGTGTGTGTGTGTGTAGGTGTGTGTGTGAATCAGACACCAAGACAGAAAGCAGACAGTCCAGCCGAGCTCCTCAGAAAACTGCCTCGGAGAAATACAGTTTGTGGCTGACTAAGACCCAGTTTGTGGTTTTCTTTCTTAAGATCAAGTCAGTGGGGCTGTGTTTGGCTGAGTGAGCATCGCTGCATGTGTCACTGTGTGTGTGTGTGTGTGTGTGTGTGCGTGTGTGTGTGTGTGTGTGGAGCAGTTAGGTCTACACATTACATCAAGACGCGCAGCACTTTCTGTGGAACAGCGGGTCATTGTTGGGATCGCACGCCAGTGTCACTCCCAGTTCTCCTTAAGCACTTCAACTGCAAGAGACTCAGCTGGTTAGTTACCCCTGGCCGAGACAGAGGAAGTGAGGAAGACACAGAGAATGTAGCCGTCAGCACTGAATTGACATTGCTGTCTGACGTCGTTCCTTATTACCATCTCTTGCCTGTCTGCCTGTAATTCCTACCTGTCTGTCTCAGCCTCGATTTGTCACTTTTTCTCTGGCTGTACATGTTCGCATATTTCACACTCTTCATCCATCCTGAAAACATAATCAGGGGAAAAAAGGAGAACTGATGCTTTGGTGTCATCTGTGCGCCAGACTTTGAGAACGATGTAGCAGAGTGTTTGGAAATGTTTGGGTTCACTTGGTTTATCTTTGCAGATACTAAAACAGATTCAAAGGCAGACACAGGAAACCAGAATGCCACTACTGCTAAAAGTATTTCTACCACGAAATATAAAGATATTGATTTAGGCCGACATTCAAAGGCTAACATATCTCTACTGGGTGTCAGCAAACCTTTTTAACTCTTGTCTTTTCCCTCTCCAGGTGACGATGACAAGAAACAGACTGACTCTGTGCTGGACAGCTTTGAGTATTTCCATGAGAAGGGAAAAGATAAGGAGAGTGACCTCCATAAATCATACAACGACCGATCCTACCTGAGCTCTGAGGAGCTGGGCGCAGGGGAGAGCCGCACTGGTGAGTACCAGCAGCCACAGACAGGTGGACAGACCACCAACACAGACAATAAAACCTCCAAAATGTACTCATTTTCATTCATTACTCAATTCATGCAGAACTCACACATGCGTGCACATATGCACACACTCAAACACAAAGCACAATAAAAACTCCACAAACAGGAATGTTTATCATGGCATGTGTTAGTAATTACCCATCTACTCCTCTCTCCTGCAGACTTTGTTGCAGTATTGACAGGAGTGACAGAATCATGGCTGCCCAGCTCCAACGGTGTTGCCAGAGCTCGCTTCTCTCTGACCAGAACTAGCCTGGCCTTCTCCATCACATACCAGAGGTAAGACACACGGCGTGTCACAGCTGAAACGTCCACGTCTGTGATTTGTTTTGCAGCTTTAGTTTGGAGGTGCTCAGCCGTAGTAGCGTCACTGCTCCTCCTTTCCTCAGCAAATATTTTTTTAAAAAAAGGTGACAATCTGTCATTTGTGGTAGACGTCCTCTGAGTGTGGTAGCACTCAGAGGATGTGTCTCTGTGAGCTCCTTGCTGCGTAGTCTGAGTGGGCAGAAGTTCGCTGCATAGATCAGCCTCTCATTGGACGGAACGAGCCACCCGCTGAAGTCCCGCCCTACCACCTCCAGTTGCAGTTTTCAACACGTCCTTTACTAACTTTTGCGGTGTTTGATCTTGCGGGGATGTAGCTATTTTTCTGCCATGGTTCGCATCCTGTAGGCGATATTTTTGTGGCCATGTTACACCAAAACCTGTTTCCCCCCCCGGCAATATTTTTGCAAGCGCACCGTTGCTGTGGCACCGTCCAGAACGATTGTGATTGGTTGAAAGAAATAAAAAAAGCCGGGGCGTTTTTTTCTCCAATCTTAAAGTGAGAGTCGGCCCAGCCAGACCTTTCTTTTCTTGACAAAGGTCTGGTGAGCGAGACTACTTGCTGCGTAATCTTCCAGGGGTTCATATCCAGAACCATGTTGTTGTGAGGCAAGGGTGCTAGCGGCTGAGCCACTTTGCTGCCCTGGAGAAGAAGGGTTTGGGGTGTGGGCTCATGAGAACTGAGGGTGCGTTCTGAACCTCCTACTTTTTCGTTTTACTTTTAGTATGCACCGCAGCTGCCCTTAAAGAGTACGTACTGTTGCATGCAGTATGCACACACTACTTCCCCATAATGTTACGCCCTGAACTTTGACCCTCTTACTCATATGTCTGTTACCATGGAGATAAAACTAAATGCCATTCACCAAGCTAGCACGAAATGGAGGTCAACACAGAGAGCTCTGATGTTATGTTGCAATTATAAGTGCATACATGGTAGAGTCTAACACCTCTGTCATTGCTGTTTAATACCTGTGTTTGTTTGCTGTCGGTTATATTTATGATTATTTTATTTAATTAAACATTTAATATTCAGTCACCTGAAAGCACATTGTGCAGAGGATTGTGGGTCAGAATGGCCATGAGAGCATACTACAAAACCTGACTACATGTAGTAGAATATCCTGGTATTTTTGGCACACTGCAGTTCTGGGACATACTAAATCTTTTCCTGCCGTATTATATAGTATGCAAGTATTTTGATTGGAACGCACAGCGACACAAACAGGGGGCAAAGGGTTGGACACACCTGTAAAGTTCACAGCAGGTGATTGAATTGATGAGGTGCAGGTGATTTGAATCAGCAGGACAGAGAAGCGTGGTCTCGCTGCTTAACCTAAGTTATCACTTCATCAGTGTGAGTGGTGAGCTGTAGAAAAAGTGTCCATTTTGATCCCTCTGTCTTCCCTTCCTTTTCAGAATGGACCGCCCCAGTAAAATAGCCTTCCTGGATTCAGATGGGACGACTGCGTTTGAGTACAGAGTCCCCAAGGGACAGTCAGATATGGTAAGACATCACATAAATAGAAATTTGTCCCCTGTTGCTTCCATTAGTGTTGTTTTCATTATGCGTGCTGTGTGTGTGTGTGTGTGTGTTTCCCCAGAGAGAGAGAAGTTAAGTACTGGTATGATGAATGCTCTCGCTCCATGACTCTGTGCTCAAACTCTGACTTCTTTTCCCATAACTCACTCTGCAATAATAAACGATAAACACATGCACACACTGTGACACTGGCTCCTTGCTTCACTGCCTCTCTCCAAACATCCCAAACGGAGTCTGATTACAGTAAACATCAACACTCACTCAGTCACTCTGAGAGGCTGCCATCAGGTCAGAGGTTAACAAGACTGAGTTTAATAAAAGGCCAATATTATCCTGATAAATCAGTAAAGTGATATGTTGGTGTAACAGTAGTATCCGTGCGTGCGTGTCCACACACTCCCTCACTACACATCACTTCCTGCCAAAATACACACGTCTCCTCCTTCCATTTCAGGCTCGAACACTCTGTTCAGCGAGGCAGGAGCCCCCCTAAATACAGGTCCAAGAAATTGGCCTATTATTATTTTTAGATAAATGTCAGTGTCAAGCAGCAGAGGACCTCAGAGAAAACACTCCAACACAAGAAAGGAACTGAGGGGGGGGGGACTCTGCTGGAGCAGAACTTTTAGACAGATTTTTCACATGTTACATCACTGCTAAGCAGGGGGACAGAGAGCATCGCTAATTAAAATGGAGATTACCCCTGAACTGAGAGTTATGAGGTGCCGGCACTCGGCCACATTTCTTCCCTGGGCTCCCAGGGAGACGCAGTGGCTTTATGTTGAAGGTTTGCAGCCAGGGGTCGAGAGTACAATCACATGGTTTGATGTATTTAGCAGATGTGCATGAGTTGTCTGTTTGGATATCTGTCTCTCTCTGTGCTGTTTCTATACTGCAGCTCACCTGCCTGTGTTTTTGTTTGTGTGTGCAGATCTGTGGAGTGTGGAAGAACCTGGCGAAGCCCATAATGCGACAGCTGCAGTCTGAGCAGATACGCGTCAAGATGACCACATTGACGGGGACACGAGAAGAAGTGGAGGGGAAGATCATCAAACACAGGGCACTGTTTGCTGGTGGGTGTGCACGCATTATTTTTTCCTTTAGACATGTGTGTCTTTGTCTTTGTGTTGCAGTGCACAGTAAACTCAATATTTACAAAGCAGCAGAATTGTATATGTTCTCACATAACCTCAGAAAGCCTCGCATGGATTAATGCAGCTAAAAAGTGTGGGTTTTGTTTACAGACGAGTATTTGTATAGAAGTTGTGTAAGAGAATACAGACACTCAGTGTGGTAATGTGCACATGTCTTGTGTACAGAGACTTTCAGCTCGACGCTGACATCTGAGGAGGAGAATTCAGGCATGGGAGGCATCGCCATGTTGACGCTGAGTGACACAGAGAACAACCTCCACTTCATCCTCGTCCTTCAAGGCCTTATCAAACACAAAGACAAAGGTGAGACGCAAGACACAGAAGGACGAGTGTGGAGAAAATGTGGGTTTGACAGACAGAACTTCAAAAAGTCCAGACTAAGATTTTTCACCCCTGCAAGGGCAAATGTTTCCTTTCAACAAAACACCTGCAATACCTCCGCTGAAAGAAAAAGTTAAGAAAACACCAGGCAAGAATCCTCATTTGGGATCTCTGTTGCCATGTCAGTCTATCAGTTTCAGCCAATCCCCACTGAGCTTTCCTAAACCACTGTTGAGGTGTTGACCTTTTTGATAGACGTTAATGAGAAACCTGTCTCTCTCTCCCCAGAGCCCGTCGTGGTGCCCATCAAAGTCCAGCTTATGTACCGCCAACACATCCTGAGGGAGATCCGAGCCAACATCACCTCTCACGTGAGTAACAGCGTACATTAACCACCAGCTGCGGCGGTGATACTCACCTTAAGGCCCAGACACTCCAAATCCACATCAAAAAACCAGGGACGACAAAGGCAGACTGTTGTGACACCTGGCCAAAAAGTTGCACTTTAACACACCGGGCAACTAGCACGTATGTTCTGCACCTGAGAGAAATAACTCTTCATACCAGCAGGTGGTGGTAGTCTGTAACATGCTCATGTTTAACCCAAACAATGTGTCATGTGAGTGCAGTTGGTTGGATCGAGGTCAGAACACCTTCTCACCACAAACTAACCGCACCAGAGTTTGTTTGTAACCGGACTGAGACCACCTCTTCAAGAAGGTCTCGGTCCGGTTGTTTTGGTGCACACTTGAGTGTGATTGCTGTGTTCACACCTGCCCAAATGAACCACACTGAGGGGGCAAACCAACTTGAGTTCAATTCCACCGAACCAGCTCAATATAACATTGGTACGAGCTTTGACCATCGGCTCATGCTTCTTAAATTCATCTCCTGAGAAACAGCCCTCCTCTTGTCTCAGTCCGATCATAATTTGAGATTTGAAAATGCTCTTTCCCCTCTCTTGCTGCAGTAATCTTTATTTGTCTGAAACAATCAGCTCTTGAGATAAAAGTAAGACCCAAAGGAAACTTGATTGGCTCGTAAATGAGCCTGCACAATTTCAAAAATGTGTCCCAGTGATCAAATTCAAGTGTCAGTCCTGTATTTGATCTGTTCTCAGCAAAGGAACTCCTGCTGATTTTCTAAAGAGGGGTGGAGGTTAGGAGAAACAGATCCAGATTTTGTCATCTCCAAATAAGAAGCGCGATTATTTCTGATGAGACAAATACAAGAACACTTCAATCAGCAACATTTTCCTCTGGGAAAGCTTGTTGTCCTCAAATCTTTGCAACACCCCTGACCTCCTGTCTTTTTCCAAAAGTGGCCCCTGCTCTGTGGTTCAGCATGAGCTTTTCACAGCTGATTTTCTACCAAACATTTTTATCTTCACATTTGAAAACTTGAGTGTTTCCCCCAAATTATATGGAAAAACACTCCTGGAATAAGCCAGCATTCAGCCTGTTCAGTGGGAGGGTTGAGGGAAAAGTGTTATCTGGGACAGACGATGAATTAAGGAGCAGGACTGGAGGAGCAGCGGTGTTGCTGTTGGTTAGGAACATATGACACAGCAACACACTCACACTCCTGGTTCCCCTCCACCCCTCCGCTCCGAGACGGATGTGGTTGGGTCACCACATCCTAACGCTGTTGTCGCGGACGCTCTGATCACAGCTAACTACCCTGAGACATGACAAGAAAAATGGATGGAGAGGGAAAAACAAGAGCGGGGAGAAAGTGTGTGAGAGGAACTTTTGCAGGAGACAGATGTGAGCAAAGGATGAGAGACACAGAGGAAAGAGGGGAAGAACGGGGGGGCAGAGAGGATGGACTGCGTACACACTCCTCACACATGTCAGTGGTTAGTGGTCTGTGGGCTGAGATGGATAGAGGGAGGAAGGAGGCAGGAGGAGGAGTGATGAAAGGCGGGTCTGTTTTTAATTCTGCCAGGAATTGCGTGAAGGGCCGATGCGCCTCTTTCAGGCCGAGCGGTGAGAGAGACCGTCCGTGAAAATATGTGAAAAGTTCGAGCTCAGCAACTGTCTCATGACCCCTCCAAGTGTCCTCGAGCAAGATGCTGAAACACAAAACGCTGACTTATTTACAGTCTAGCTGAGTAACAAGAGAGTGCACATCGTTTGTAGCTGAAGATGATACTTGCTTTTATTTGTACGTCTCTGAATACACACACACACACACACACACACACCAGCCGAACATCTGATTTTTAAATGTGTGAAGTCATTTTTTACAGGACCGGTAATCCTGACAGGGTTATTGCTCCACCTGATTTATGCAGGACCCAAATATATCCCTTTGCACCTCACTTAGCTCACATTATTCTGCCCATTCAGTTTCCCCAGTATAAGTCACCTTCCCTCTGCCCAGCCTCGTCTCTGTTTTGGCTCCTCGCTGTGTGGATTTATGGCACGTGTATATTTATATTGAACTGAGGCCCTGAAGCCATAAAAGTAACATTTCTTCAACACGCTCGTACATCTGTCCTATTACTCCGACATTTTTCAGCGTCTTGAACGCCCCCCCCCAGTCTGCCTGCTCAAAATTAAACTTCACTCAATATGAAACGTGTTAAGGCAATGGGAGCCATATTTTCGCCCAGGGTCCAAGTGTGCACTCGTGAGCGAGGTTGATTTAAAGTCATGTGTTTTTATGTAACAACTGTTTGTGCCCTTAATGGTCTCTGACTCTGCGATGCGTTTGTGATTGCTGAATTAATCTTATCTGGAGGAGATGGTGCTGCTCTGGGATCTGTGCGGCTCTCTCATCTCTGTTTGCTATAAACTGAGAGGATAAGTTCAGTTCAGTTGGCGACATGTCACCAGTCTGTCTTTTGTCTAAACGCATTGGGGTTTGGTTGCCCTGGTAACACGTCAGTGTTGTACTAACAACATGTCAACATGTCCTAAAAACATAATATAACATTTTTGTTTCTGGTGTTGAGAAGGCATCTATTTACATGGAACATGGTTTTATATTTATTCACTCACTGACCCACACGTAGCAGCTCGAGCTAACTGTTTCAATCTGTGCAGGACCCGGACTTCGCGGAGGTGCTGACGGACTTAAACAGCCGGGAACTCTTCTGGTTATCACGTGGTCAGCTGGAGATTGCCGCGGCAACCGAGGGTCAGGATCCCAGACAGATCTCTGGCTTCATCACCGGCAGGAAATCATGTGACAGTAAGTGTCCGGCTATCAAACACCTTTACACAGGTGAACTGAAACCTTGATATGCCTCCACGCTGGCGATGGTCCATCCACCGGTCCCCTTCTTGTGGGCTCAAGCAGACCTTGAGGGAATGTCCTCAAATTTGGCACAAATGTCCACTCGGAATCAAGGATGAACTGCATAGAATTGGTTGGTCACAGGTTAAGGTCAATGTGACCTTGCATCCATCCCATTCTCATCAGTACAATATCTTAAGACAGTCTTGAGGGAATGTTCTCAAATTTGGCACAAACGTCCACTTGGACTCAAGGATGAACTTCAGATTTTGGTGGTCAAGGGTCAAGGTCACTATGACCTTGCATCCGTCTCATTCTCATGAAACCGTTATTTTAAGAAGACCTTGAGTGAATTTCCTCAAATTTGGCTTTAACATCCACTTTGACTCACAAATAAACTCATTAGAATTTGGTGGTCAAGGTCACTGTGACCTTGCATCTTAGTCTCTTGACCATGATTACTCAAGAAGGCCTTGAAGGAATATTCTCCAATTGGCACAAATGTCCACTTGGATTCAGGGATGAACTTAAGAATTTGGTGGTCAAGGGTCAAGGTCATAATAACCTTGCATCTGTCTCACTCTCATGAAACCGTTACCTCAAGAAGGCCTTGAGGGAATTTTCTCAAATTTGGCACAAACATCCAGCTGGACTCACAAATAAACTGTTTAGAATTTTATGGTCAAGAATTAAGGTCACTGTGACCTTGCATCTGTCTCTTTATAGTGAACACAATAGCTCAAGAAGGCCTTGAGGGAATACCCTCAAATTTGGCACAAATGTCCACTTGGACTCACAAATAAACTGATTGGAATTTGGCTGTCAAAAGTCAAAGTTATTATGGCAATGTTTTTACACAAATGTCTAGTAGGATAAAATGATGACATTTCATATCCAAAAGGTCAAAGGTCAACTTCACGGTGATTATTCAAGATCCTATCTCAGGAACAGCAGGGGAGACATTTGGTCACTCAGTTGGTGACACTAATCTTTGGTGCCTACTTTGAAACTGTGTGTGTGTGTGTGTGTGTGTGTGTGAAGCGTCCATGTTTTTAAAGATGGATGTAAACTGTAACAGCAACTTGACGGCTTCGCGGAGGCATGTAACCGCAAGATGGTAATTCTAGTTTGCTTCATGTCTCTCGTCACGTTATCCCAGCGAGGTGGTACTAAACACTGCAGAGGCAACAAACACAGAGGTTGCTAAGAATGTGTTTTGCGTTGCAGTTGGTTTGTGCGAGTCCATCTGTGGCTGTTTTTGTCATTCGCCTCTATAAATACTTCTTCTCTTTCTTTCTGTCTCGGTCCTTTCAAGTCTTATCGCTGGGGGAAAACCATGTTTATAGACCTTCTGTTTGACTTGGTGGCCCACCAAGACTGTGTATGCACGTCTGTCCATATGTGTGTGTGTGAGTGTGTGTGAGAGAAAGACACAAAGAAGGAGAGAGAGAGAGGTTTTTGGAATGTTGTGGACGGCCCAATCGTCTCAAACTGTTAAAGCACACACATATGGCCTTTTCATGGGACACATACTTGAACGTGAACATTGAACATTGAGGTGTCACTTTGAAACACTTTAGAAGATGCTCTCGTTGTCTTAACACGCTCAAAATCAGACACGCAAATATGTAAAAGTCCAAGTTTTACACACCGACAGGCAGAGGTGCTGCCAAGGTCACAGTCTGCTGGTGTTCCAGTGCTGTGATTAACAGCTTGACGTTATGTGTGAAGAATTCAAACCCAACACACTCCTCTCCCTCTCCTTCCTCCTCCTTCTCTTTCCCGCTCTCCTTCTTTCCCTCCACGTCTCGATCCCGTCATCTGCTGTCCTCTTTGTGTATCCTTGGCGTCATTCCTCCTCTCTGGCTTTTTTCTGCCTTCATGTCATTTTCAAAAATTTTTCTCTCTGCGTTTTTCTCATCCTTCTCTGTTACTCATTCCCTCCTGTCCTCTCGGCTCAATCTTTTTAAGCCCACTGCATTCAACAAGGGTTACCTCATCCTAAGGCTTAACCTTGGGTGGGTTTTGTGTGTGTGTGTGTGAGTGTGTGTGTTTGCCAGACAGTGCAACAACATGTATGTTTTTGCCCGAAGGTCACGCAGGCAATTACACAAGCAGACACGCCTCCTGATTAGTGGTTCAATTGAATCTGTCCCCTCAATGACTGTTCCTGGGTGAACACATGACATTAGGGGAATGTGAGTGAGTGTGCGGTTGCAGAACGTGAGGGAATGTAACGCGCCCCCTTTCTCCCCCTCCCTCAAACAACCAGCAAATTTCAACATGACAGAAATCATTGCCTCATCTCGCATGCTGTCAGGCTGGAGTGTAGTTTAGGGGAGACTGAGGGGGAGAGTGATGGTTTAAGATAAGTAATCTGGGCAGGAATGTGCTCTTAAGTGGACTTTTGATGTTAATCTGTCTTTGTCTGGCTCAGCTATTCAGAGTGTGATGTCCAGCGGTGATGCACTGACCCCGGGGAAGACAGGAGGCGTGGGATCCGCCATCTTCAACCTCCATGATAACGGCACACTCGACTACCAGGTATGGATTTGTCAACTACATCTTTTTGTTACAGTTGATTATAGAAGAAGACAAAAACCTATTTTTTTTCCTAAGGTTAAGTCACTGCTACATCTGTGTTGTAGTTTTTAACCATCTCTCCCTCATCCTCCTCGTCCAGGTCCAGGTCGCAGGTCTCACCAGTGACTTTGTCGGCCTCACTATCGAGTTGAAGCCGCGGCGGCGGAACAAGCGCTCCGTGCTTTACGACCTGACGCCAGAGTACAACAAGGCCACGGGTCAGGCGCAGGGCAGCTGGAGTCGTCTGGAGGCTCGACACATCCACATGCTGCTGCAGAACGAGCTGTTCATCAACGTGGCCACGACTCACAACCAGGAGGGGGAGCTGAGGGGGCAGATCAAGGCCCTGCTCTACAGCGGCCTGGAGGCACCCAGGCATGGTACGGATCGATGGATGCAGGGCAGGGTGGTGGGAGGGAGGTCATGATATTCATAAGATAGCTAGAAATACGTGGGATTGCTTTCTAGCAGAAAAATATGTCAACATCTTCCTCTCTTCCAGAGTTGCCCGTCCCTCTGGCTGGCCACTTTGTGTCTCCCCCTGTAAGAACCGGCGCCTCTGGCCACGCCTGGGTGTCAGTGGACAAAGAGTGTCACCTACATTATGAGATCATCGTTGCGGGCCTCAGCAAGGTCGACGACCTCACCGTGAACGCCCACCTCCACGGCCTGGCTGAGATCGGAGAATTAGACGACAGCAGCACAACTCACAAGAGGCTGCTGACCGGCTTCTACGGCTCACAGGTACGTCAGCATACACACACACACATACATACAAGACAAATGTATGCAAATATACACACTCAAACACACTCTCCTATCTCTCCTCCAGGCTCAGGGAGTGTTGAAGGACATCGGTGTTGAGTTACTGCAACACCTGGACCAGGGAACAGCCTTCATCCAGGTCAGCACCAAGACCAACCCCCGAGGAGAAATACGAGGACGGGTACGTGAAGACAAGCTGCAACTTTACATTCAGATGTGGTTCAGTTATTCAGTTTAAGCCAGTGTCTTCTGTTGATAGAATAGGCCAGGGTTTTCACTCAGGCTTTTAGAGCTGCAAATGTTTCTAAAACAATTTCATGAGTCTCTAATTCAGTGAAGAGTTTTAGTCTCTCATTATTACATTCATTGTAGAGGCAATGACGTGAACACACACTGAGGAAACATTTTTGACATTTTTTGGCGTAACAAGAATTTAAAGATCGCAGATTTTCTGATAAAATTATGAATTAGCAACTTAAAATGGGGAAAGAAATGCAAAACCCACACCTACACCTACAGCACCAACTCTGGACAAGCGTGACAAAACCATTTTCTGCGCTGTTCCATCTGTTTTACCACTACAAGAAAACCATTTTACAACCATGACACAATAAAATGCCAACAGTGCAAGCAAGTCCACCTTCACAACGGGACCCAACAAGGAGGGATTGGGTCAGTGGTTCCCAACTGGTCCAGCCATGGGGTCCCGATTTCTCCTTATTCATTAGTTCAAGGTCCATGTCGCCAATTTTTTACACTTCAAAATAAAAGCTCTGGATTACATGATTTGTGCTCAAACTTTTGCATCGAAATATTGATTTATCATAATGGGGGAACCGTGATTCAGAAGGTAGAGCTTGGGTCCACTTCTTGGAAGATCCTTAGCTCTTCCAGCCTGCACATCTCAGTATCCTTGGGCAAGGCAATAAACCCCAAATCGCTCCCAGTGGCTTTACCATTGGGGTGTGAGTGTGTTTAAAACTGAGAAGCAGATGGCAGCTTGTATTGTAGCCTTGGCCACCAGAGAATGGGTAAATTTGACATGTAGTGTTAACGCACTTTGAGAGGTCAGCAGACTAGAAATGCACTATACAATCCATTTTCTGTAACCGCTTATCCTATTGGGGGTTGTGGATAGCTGGAGCCTATCCCAGCTGACACTGGGCGATAAGTGGGGTTCATCCTGGACAGGTCGCCAGACTATCACAGGACTGACCGCTATATAAGTGCAGGTCCATTTAATATGGGAAACATTGAGGGCACAAGCTATATTACACATTTCCAACCATAAATTGCAGCTAAACTGAACAAATCTTTTCAAATTTAAAAATGATTGTGCCACAGAGTGCTAAAATGTTAGCTCATGCATTCTCAGTGTTAGATACAGAGACGGACGGTGCCTTTTGTCTACACCTCCAGAGATTGTGAAGGCAGTGTGGAGTAGCTCAAATGAGATATGACTTAAGTAGACAGCGAAGACTTTTAAATAATGGTGGAACAGAATAAATCGGTAACATAGTGAAAAGAATTCTCCGTCCATATGGCTGCACAGACCGCCACCATCTACAACACTAGCTCCAGAGGTACAACATTACAACCTCCACCACTGTCTCCTCATTTATTGTTGTGTATAACTTTTGACTCACCGTCTATTGCCATCTGTTGGCTGTATCTATGCCAACATAAAGGACGTGTGGAAGTATGACGGCATTGACGTTCACAATGTTTGAAACGGACGTATCTATTTTCGTACGTGATTAAGTATTAATGAGCCTTAAGATGTGAGACCAAGGAAAAAAGATCACTTTGTAGCTCTTAACCTGAGATGCACCAGTGAAATATATTTGTTTACATTATAAGTCAGTATAATTTAGCTTTTGCTACACCCTCATCCCCTGTTGGCAATAACAGCACAACAATAAACTCTTGCATGGAAAAACACGATAAAGTAAAATAAGTGATTAGATGAAAGAAGAGCAGCAGAGTCCTCGGGGCCTCCTTTTGCCATCTGAGCGTTTACGTGTCCATGTGATTGCTCTCTCAGCGCTCAGCACTCAGCAGCCGACTCAGACACACACTTTCACTGGCAGGTGCTGTCTGCCCGGAGACACTTTGTTGAAGAAAGTAAAAGTTTTATTGGGGTTCAGAAATGCTCACAAATGCAGCTCTCAGTCGCCCACAAACCTCTTGGCAGCTCCACAGGTGTAGCGGTTGATGAGTTCTTTAGGCTAACAAAGAAAGTGATGACACACACACACACACACACACACACACAACAGAAGGGTCCAGCTGTTTTAATAGCAAACAGGTCCAACACATAAACAGCCATCTGCTTGAAACGCTCCATTTAGGAACAATTAACAAATCAGCTTGAGACCAGCCTTGAGTCAGGTGCGGCCAAGCAGTCTCTAACGTCCTAACCACCCGATATCTTTCTTTCCTCCCTCTGCTTCTCTTTCATTTCCCCCCTTTTATCTCAACACATTTCACCCACAACCACCTCTTTACACTGTGCTCTTGTTTTCCTTTTATGTCCTCCACCTCCTTCTCTCCCTTCTTTCTGTTCTCCGCACATTTCCTGTCTCCAGGTCCACGTGCCCAACAACTGTGAGCTGGGGACCAGGGCAGACGTGGAGGAGGCTGAGTTTGACGACCTCTTTGTGAAGGACCCCGAGGAGCTGAAGAAAGACCCCCATACCTGCTTCTTCGAGAACCAGCACCAGGCTCACGGCTCCCGCTGGACTCCCAACTACGACAAGTGTGTCTCCTGCAGCTGCCAGGTAAAGACAACAAACACAGAGGAAGCAATTAAATGTGTTTGTTAAAAGAGCTCTTTGATGGTTTAATCAACTCGGAGGCATGTTGTGGCACTCAGTGGAAGAGAGGCTGGGAGTTTGTTTGCAGAGTGCATGTTAGGACTGAATATTGTTTGTCATTTTGTGTCTAATACAAAACATACCTCTCGTCTTTTTTCTGCAGAAGCGAACTGTGATCTGTGATCCGGTCATCTGTCCGGTGTTGACCTGCACCCGCACCATTCAGCCTCAGGACAAATGCTGCCCGATCTGTGATGGTAAGACGGGACAGTTTTTGTTTTGGTTTTAAATGAGGTGCATGAATATGTGACATTATGTTTTATAGCAGTAATGCTGCTTGGAGTCTCAGGTTGTGAGTAGATTTTATTCTTTTGGGTGAATTCCCACCGTGCTCCTGACAGAAATCATAAAGTTGAAAACTAATTCTGTTTTTATGTCTCCATTTCCTTTTTCCTGTGCAGAGAGGAAGGAGCCCAAGGATATGAAAGTTCCAGAGAGGGTGGACGAACATCCTGAGGGTAGGTACTACCTCTCTTGTCTCTGACTGACGCGTCTTTTTTAAACTATTTTTTTCTCTAAAGGCTTTTTTGTATTGTTTCTACATGTCTTAACACTGTCTTCCTTTCATGTAGACTTTGAATCATTCAGGCTTTTTCTCGCTGACTGTAACATTTTTTCGTCTCTTTCCTTTCTCTCAGGTTGCTACTTTGAAGGAGACCAGAAGATGCACGCCCCAGGAACCACGTGGCATCCCTTTGTGCCTCCCTTTGGCTACATTAAATGTGCCGTCTGCACTTGCAAGGTAAATATACACCACTAAACCCGTTCACATCTGGCTGGATTTACTTTCCAAAATCCCTTAATGGATCATTTATCTAGAGTCCAAAGAAACTGAGACATAAATGCGTTTCTCATAAGTTCGACCTCAGGCAGTGTTCAGACTTTTTAACTATCCGTGTGGAAAAAGAAACAAGTCAGTTGCATTTTATGCTAGAATAAAAATAACTGCTGCTAACCTGCTAATGCTACATTACGTCCACAGGGATCTTCAGGGGAGGTGCACTGTGAGAAGGTGACATGTCCGGTGTTGACCTGCAGTCATCCCGTAAGACGTAATCCCTCCGACTGCTGTAAGGAGTGTCCGGAGGAGGAGAAGACGGCTGCAGGCCTGGAGCACAGCGACATGATGCAAGCAGATGGCCCGAGGCACTGCAAATTTGGCAAGAACTATTACCAGAACAGTGACAACTGGCATCCCTGGGTGCCGCCGGTGGGGGAGATGAAGTGCATTAACTGCTGGTGTGATGTAAGTAATGAGGCTCCTGAGAAATACGAGCCTAGAGTAAATATTATTTCTTTGCTGACATGTCACTTAAATATAGTAAAGTTGTTGGTTATGAGGACGGCTGGAAGGAAACTCATTAAAAGTTAATTAATTCTATTAATGTTTTGGAGTGGAATATTAAACCACAATCTTTTTATTACAGCACTTAAATGATGAATCACAGTTCACAGAGAGTTCAGACCAAGTTGTTCAAACATAAAATACGAGCGCTCTGATCTTGATGATCTAAAGCCTGGACTCTGGCAGGGCTGTTGTACTTTTGTCTAATTAGAGTTTAAAGCTGCTACGTTTATATGATCAATTGGCCAAATGACTGAGCAATATGAAACGGGTTGCTCACAGAGAATTATCGCCAACTCTGCCGTTCCCTCCGATCTACGCAGCCTTTTAGCGTCCTTCGCCTCACTGTTTTGGTTTTACGGCCTGCAGCTTTACTGGTTTGGCTCATACTCGCCGCTCTCATCAACAGTTTCCAGACACAGCACGCAGATTCTTTAAGTAAAGAGTCTCTGATAAACACATTGTGCACCACCTGCCCAGCACCAAACAGCACAGACTGTGTGATGGGGCCTCTGCGAAGTCCTTTTATTACGCCACCTTTGCTTTATACACAGAACCAAACAACATAAAGCTGCCCCAGTGTAAAATTTTAGTACGGTCGGCAACGCTTTCTAAACAATAACAAAGGCATAACATTGCAATATAAATAATTTACCATCCCTGTAATATCGTGGTTGATGTGGCCCTCTGCTCGGAGTGTAAGGAGCTCCTAGACCTCAGTCAGTACGTTTACATGCACAGTGAAGTGGAGCTACAGTTACAGCTCAAAGAGGCCATTTAACTGGACTACTGTCCTTGTCCCAGTATACAAGCACGGGAGGGGAATCGATTGATTGATCTAAGTATGTGTGATTCCGCTATGATAGGTGGAGATATGCCCCCTTTCAGCTTGTTAGCATTGGACCTTTTTCCTGTTGACCTATTACGTCACAGACCAAACAACTGACAAAGTTAGCTACGGTTAGCTAGCTGCTAACTGGTACCATGGTGGACAACTTTACAGCCCTGTACGTTCCGTCTGTCCAAAAAGTCACGGCTCTGGATGTAGATTTCTCCATGTTGTTACCGGCTTCTTCTTCTCTTACACATTTAATGCTATTCGACTTCCGAGTCAAAGCCCGGGGCGGAAACTGTGGCACATGCTCAGAGCACCTCGGCCAGTTTGGGTCTGATTGACTGTGTACATGCAGGAGTCACATTATCTGGGTGTTTTAGTCCGACTTAGTCCGAAATTCGATTTAGTACCATTTTAATTAGACTAAAATGTTTACATGGATTTTAAAAGTCCAGCTTTAGTCGAACTAACACAATAAATCCATTTTCTTCATGTCATGTAAACGTACTGCCCCACAGTCTGTGGCTGCTGTTCTTCTTCTTCGAGTTAGCTGCTAACTGTTTCTAGCTGCATTATAAATCTCCCGACAATGGGTGACATGCATAACACATCTTTAAAACATCACACTGATGTTGCCTATGACATTGTCCTGCCGGCTGTCCGTTTTACAAAGATGTCGATTTGACGCTGTCATGCTTAAAGGCGAGACAACTATGTCCCCTGTTCAGGGATGGTTCCATTTATAAAGAGTGGCAAGGTGGAATAACAGCGCAACATTCCCACCATGAACAGGCAGTGTAAAAGGGGCTAAAGTTAGCAACTAGCTGGTCGACATAGGGAAGCATTTAGCTGCAAAATAGCCATATACTTTTGTCATAAGTTGGTGGAGACCAAAAGTGAAGAGTGAAGATAGGACTACAAATAAATGCCCCATGTCTTCTGGATGTGTAAACAGGCAGCTGTTTGCTAACATGTTGGCTATATCAACTTAAAACAATGCTAATATGTCAGTGTTGTGTTCACAGCTTGTTGTGATACGTTCAGGTCACACCACCTTGTGCTTTCTTCTCATCAACCCTCCATATTTCTCTCTTATTCTCCACAGCATGGTGTGACGAAGTGTCAGAGGAAGCAGTGTCCAGTACTGACCTGCACCAACATCACCCGCAAAGAGGGCGCGTGCTGTCCTGAATGCCTTGGTAAGCAATGAACACATACGTACACAAACCAGTGACAGCAAAGATGATCGGTAAAATATACAGAGAAATGTCATTCATTTACTCAGTCATTTAAAAAGTCTTCTCTTGTTTCGCTGTCTTGATGATGATGTTTCAAACGCGGCATAGATATAACGTGATTTTCCTGCTCTCCATAGATTCCAAAGAGGAAGACAATGTGACGAAAGCTCCAGACAAAAGGCGAACCCAGAGACAATGATCTGTGTGGACCCACATGAACCACCCTTTCCTCCCTGATGGACCCAAACCCAGAGCTGCACACTGGGTCTCCCCACCCTCCCTCCCTCCCTCACCTCACCTCACCTCACCTCACCTCACACCCACCCTGTTATCAGCTTCAGGATTGTAATGAACAGAGAGGAGCAGAGATGGAGACAAAACAGAAATTCTCTAAAGACTCGTTGAGTGAAGGGATGAAGCTACGAAGAGGACCAACTGGACTTTACAAACCTTTCGCCTTCTGCTTCCTGCCGTCCGTTTTTGCTGGAATTTCTTTATTGCTCAGTTTTCCAAACAGGACAAACAGTATATATGTAGAAATACAACACGGCTGATGAATGGGATCCTTCCGCCGTTGGTCCGGCTGCTTTGAGGGGCAAACTTTGGCAAGATTGCGCGAGTTGTATTTCATCGACAGGGCTTCTTTTTGAAGTACAGCCATAGCTACTGTACTGTAGCTCTCCCTGCTCTCACTGGATAGAGGAAAGTGTTACTTAAATTTGACTGAATGTGTGTGTCTGTGAGCGTGACTGTGTGTGTGTTTTATACCATTAAAGAATACGACCATTTGGCAATACAGAAACAGTAAACTTCCTGGGTGGCAAAGCAGGGTTAAAAAACAGTTTGGAAACTGGGAAACAGTGCCATACCCCATCTTTTCTGGAACTTTGATTCGTTGTAATATTTCCACTCAGTCACGCAGCCTGAAATGGTTCAGCTGGTTGTTATTTCACTGTCATACTAATAAGAGCTTTGCCTTCACCTCCCGTTGCTTCTCTGCTTCGGTTGTTTCTATTTCTGTTTCGAATTAAGTAATATTTTATGAATTTTCTATCATTGTCGTTTATGAACATGGAATATGGTTTGTATTTTGTATTTATTGAATGGTGTGGAGACAAAATAAACAGATGTTTGTTGGTAAATGAGGGAATACCTGTGGGTTTGTTTTGGACGCTTCGGCCAACTGGCTCCCCCTCTAATAACCCCTCCCTTGTTTCCGTTTTTGAGTTTATATCTTGGGTTTTCATCTGGAGTCTTTGGGATTTTAGTTTTCCACTTTGTTCCTTTTTTTCTGCTTCTTTCTCTTCGTGTTTTTCTTTCTTCTGTTTTTCACTTGTGGAGCTGTGATCGCAGAGGATGACGAGCCAGATTGACCCAGCTCATCTTTCACTTTCTTTCTCTTTCACCATTGTCAATTTTTTTCCTGTTACGTTCTTTCTGTCCATGTTGTATCATTTCTCTATCTCCTCTCTTCCTCGCCCTTTAATTTCCTGTTGTCTTTTCACTATTTCATCTTTTCTAGGGTGTAAGAAAATCTTTCCTTTCTTGCCGTTTCTTTCCTTTTGCTCTCCTTTTCTTTCCTTTCCTTGCTTGCTTTCCTCTTCAGACAGTGACCACATGTGCTCAGCAAGGTTTTGTCCCTTATGTACCTCCCCATGTGCACACACACACACACAGACACACACACAAGGTGCAGACAGACTTAAACATAAACACATATTCACAGATGTACACATGTACAAACTCTTGAATCGGGAACACACACACTGCCAAAGGGCAAGCAGAATCTTTTCCAATACATACATACACACACACACACACACACACACACACACACACACTCTCTCTCTCTCTCTTTCTCTCACACACACACTACCGCACTCTGCTGGCCACATTCAGGTACTGCACCAAAAGTTGCCTCCTAAAAACCAGCTGGTGCAAAGAGCTTCTGAGGGCACCTGTTGACCTCCCCGAGGCAAAGAGCAGTGTGTGTGTGTAAGTGTGTGTGTTTACACACTAAAGGCATGTTGTAAAGTCATCATTGGGCCAGCAGGGAGAGGTGTGTATGTGTAGGGAGGTTTCAAAGCCGGATGGTGGAGGTCAAAGGTTAAGCGTTCTGAGGTACGGTCTGTGGTGGCCTATGAAGGAACGTGAGACGTGTACCAGCCTGAGACATGCATCTGCACATGGTCGTGTGTGTGTGTGTGTGTGTGTGTGTGTGTGTTACTGATTTGTAATTTAAACAGTATCACACACAGACAAGTCCAAAGAAATGATAGGAACCAAACAGCTAACAGGAATTAGCCCATAGCTATGTTCCCTCTACGTCTCCAATGATTTCTCTTAAGAAAATAAACATTTTTGCTTCAGGCTTCTTTTAGTTGCCCAAAATTATTAAATCATTTTCAACATGTCAGAGATGCAACACGAAATGTTCGTTGATAAGAACAGGCTGCTCTCCCTACGGCTTCTTCTTCGTCTCTCACTGACACCTCCTCGGATGTCTGTTTAGTCTATTACTGATATGAAACATTCGCCCAGCGCTGTGATGAGCTATTCGTCTTATTTATCACTATAATTAAATTTAAATCAGAGCCACATGTGATGAACTGGACTCTGATGGCTTTTCTTCTTTGTTGTTGAAGAAAAACATCTCGCTGTTTTATTTAAAAGGCTGGTTTGTTTATATTTTGTCATTGTTTTTTGTATTGACAGTCCAAGTTCGTGATTATGTTTTGGATGCAAAAAAACCCCTGGATCTCAAAAGTCACTGGAGTTTGGCCGAGAAACAGTCCTGCTGATAACTCCCTCGTTAACCACAATTCCGATGCATGTACATGTGGAAACAAACAACATAAAAAGGCTAAGTAATACGTTTTAGAAGCACTGGTGGGCAGGTTATTTGACGCTCCTACAGAGTCACGCTAGCTATTTTCCCCTGTTTCCAGTCTTTATGCTAAGATAAGCTAAGCTAATGGCTGCTGGCTGTAGCTCCATTAAAGTCCATTCTCATTGAGGGTGAATATCCGCGCGGATTATTCTAGCGGAAAAATATAAAAGCTGATTTCATGGGTTCTTATGGAAGTTTGTACACCAGACTTTGACCCCTGCGGAATTTGCCGGCAGAACCACACAGCTGGGCCAATGAAATTGTTTGTTTATAGTGATGTTGCTCAGACAACTAGATAGTCCAAAATCCAGTCAGGCAGGACAGTTTGGGAGAAAGGTTGATAAGCCTCGTTTCACAGCACCCCGTCCTTTGATAAAAGACGGGATGATTTTATGAACAATGAATTAAAGGACAACAGTCCATTGTCCAGCTTGGTTGCTGCGGTGAGAGTGGTAAGTGCGAAAGAAAGTTGATGTTGACGCTTGTTAGCTAGTGCTAGCTAAGTTAACGTTAGCTGCTGCTGCTACTCTCGTCCATGTTCACCCACACCCGTTCACACTGCGTAGACTTGGAACACAACAACGCAAAATTCTGTACAGCCCGTGTGTGTATGGTTTAAACATGGAAAAGTGCTGCGCGAATATTCCACAAATCAGTCCTGCATTTACACATCGCGGCAGTGAGAATGCTAGGGTGACCATATTTTGATTTCCAAAAAAGTGGACACTCAGCCCGGCCACGAGATAGCCTACTTAAATGATACTCGCTAATTTTAATATATTTAAAGTTTCTATGTATGGATAGAAAATTCAGTTATATTACAAAATAATATCTCAGAAATTCAGATAGGCCCCTATAGATAGGGGACACATTCACACACTAGAGGGTCCCGACGGGTCGGGCCGGGGTTCGGTCAAAAATGTATAAATTGTATTCGGGCTCGGGTCAGATTCGGTCAGCTTTCAGTGAAAATGTAGTGTAAAAATAAATAAAATCCTATTGTCTGTCCAGTTTATTGCTTGAGGACTGTTATTTATGTGACAACACCTGAACATAATATACACACACACACACACACACACACACGGAAAACCAGACATTATCATCAATTTATAAACACCCCCCGGACGCAAAAGAGGACGTTTGGTCAGCCTAGAAGCATACAAACTTCCTGCTTGTTGTTACCCTGCCAGAACTAAAAAGAGAGTTTGTTTGAGTCTGTTTATTTTTATTATCAGTAACTTTACTAAACTGGGAAGTCCCATTGAGATTGAAAATGTCTTTTACAAGAGAGACCTGGTCGAGGTAGCAGCCGATCAAAACACATTAAAATGCAACGTATAACACAAAAATCCACAATAAAACAACAAGTATGTACACCTCTCAAAAAAAACAAGCACATCTCCATCACAACATTCTTTATGATGCCCTTAAATTCATATATGTGTATCTAATTATAGATCTTTATGAAGATTGTTTGATGTCCAAGGTGCAGAGTAGGAGAGTGCAGTTTTCCCCAGATCTGTTAAAACCCAGGATACGTTAAAAAGCAACCACCTGGAGGAGCGTAGCTGGAAACTACCAGAGCTGACACACAGAAGGGAGCAGAGAATATTGCTTTATAAATAAAAATATACCAGTGCTGCTGTCTGTGAGTGGTCAGTGACGTCCAACCCACCAAATCACAAAGATCTTTATCTATGGATAGGCCCTTATCCATCAAGCTGCATAGATGCATGTTTTTTTGTGATCCCTGTGTTTCCTGTCTCATTCTGGTAACCATTGTCTCGTCTCGTTTGATATCCCACGTCCTGCCAAGTTTCCCTCCTTTGTGATCACTTGCCCTGCCCTGATGTGTTTCATCTGTGTCTCATTGTCTCACTTGTCTGAGTTTATTTAAGTCCCTGTCTTTCCCTCCTTTGATGTCGGATCATCTTCACCTTTGAGGAGTCTAAGACTTCCAGCGTTTCCCCAGTGTTCCTTGTGTGTGTGTGTTTTTGACCCTTTTTGCGTGTTGATTTGGACACTTTGCCTGTGTGACTGACTGTCCCTGTACCAATCTGAGCCTGATTAAGGACACTGAAGTTTCATCTGAGTTTGTGCTTTGTGAGTCCTTCCCCAGTTTGTGCTTGACATATCTGACCATTGTGTGAGTTCAATGTCCGTTGCTCCGAGCCCGGCCTGTGTCTAGGTGGCTCGTGTGGTCCACGGATCAGCCCTTTTGATCTACAGCCATCCTCATACCCTCCCAGCAGCATCAGTGATGATCCTGATGGCTCTCGTGCTGTGCTGCCTCTGATCCTCAGCAACTTGAGGGCCCTGTAGAGGGACTGGCCGGCAAATCCTCGGCAGCCGGTCTCAGTGGGGTAGCATCGGGTCTTCCATCTGTGGCTTCAGCATTTGCCTGCGAGCTCCTCATACTTGACCCTCTTCTTATCAAACGCCTCTGCCATCTGGTTTTCCCAGGGCACAGTCACTTCCAGCAGGACCACCTGCCTCCATCATTTAATTTCCATTTAATTTAATGAATCAAAAATGTGACCTGACATATGTAGTATATTTTCAAAATTTAGAGCCTCAAACAGAAATTAAAATAACCCTCTGTGGGTTGTAACAATCACACACGAGGCCACATTTGTTCTATATTGACAGTAGAGGTTTAGTGTGAAAACAGGTGTGACAGTGTTACAGTCATCAGAAAGCCTCGTCATTTTCCCTTAAGAAGCTTCACCAGTGTTATTCCACACTGTCTGACAATATCTTATGTGCACAGTGTTTTTAATGCATGTATCATTCCTTCAGATGGGAATATTCAAGATGTCTTGTGTTCTCAGACCTAGAGTCATCTCCTTTGGTCGGAATCAGGGACTCATGTTGTACCAAAGTTGTATAATTGCCTAGAGTTGGTTCGTGTTCTCAGGGCAGCATTTACAAGAGGACCAGATCAAATGCCTTGTGTGAGAAAGCTGCTCTTGATTGGTCAGAATTTCCATGTGGGAAAAATCCAGGAAGTAAAGCAAACGTTGAAGAAGAGTACACTTGCAAGATAAATGTGACACTTTCTAATGTCACAATGGAGGGACAACTACGCAGGTTGATGTTAGCGCTGCTCATCGTGGACTATATTGCTGTCATTGTTCATTTTAGTCAAACCATACAGTTTGAAAACGAGGCGCGGCTCCAACTAGAAAACAATGTTTTGATGCATTGGATGTGCTGAATGTGCATATTAAGGCAGTACAGGA